CACTGTTACCAGTGCTCTGGCTATTTTTCTGCCATCTTCTCCCATGCTAACTCTTCAGGGCACAAGGAGGAATGACGATCTTCTCAAGCCACATAATGCTTGGAATCAGGGCCATGTCTGTCCTGTTTGTAGGCATGTCACCAGAGCCTAGCATCATGCTGGGCACAAATTTCCCAATGAATTTGTGGGCTGGATGGAGGAATTGGAGTCATGACTGCAGCACACACTCAGATCAAGCTCATTGTGGGAAGTAAATGGTTAGTGGTTGTGTAAGAAATGGAGAAAAACAATGACTCTTCTGTCTGTGGCCATGAATTAGTTCACAGGGTCCCAAGTCTCAACAGAAGGCTGGGTAGGAAAAGGGCCAGGATCTGGAACCGAAATCTGAAACACCTCAGCAATAACTTGAAGACAGCAGCTTTACAACACAACCCTTGGCACTTAGGCTTCAGAGAATCAGAGAGGGGTGTGCTTAAGAGCATGATTTAGGAGAAAAGTGATGTAGGAAGTACCACTTCGTAGTGGAGTGACTTTGGACAAATCACCTAACTTTTCACCTATAAAAGTGGGGATAAGAGTAGCACCCACACTATGCATTTGTGTGGGAATTAAATGAGATAATGCAGAGTATAAGATGTGGGTTTGGTTATCTTTATAATCCCAGATTAGTCCCCTTCCTTCACATGCCAGCCCTCCCAACGTGGCATTGGCCGCACAAACATGGGGCCATTCCCTTTGCACAGCATCTGTTCCTTGTCCCGTCTCCCTACTTGGTGCCAGTGCCACTTTATCTGCTGGATGTCTCAGATTCTGCTGGAGACAATCATTTGCTGAATCTCAGAGAACTGGGAGTGGGAATCAGGAATGTGATTCTAGAACTTGAATGCTCACTTCTTACAGTGTATCCAGGCTGAAGTTTACAGATCTAGGTATCTGAATCTTAAGGTAGCATGGCTCTCTTCCCTTTGGCTGGAATGTGCCTCATCCATCTCTGCGTTGCTCGTCCTGGGTCTCCACTTAACTGTCACATCCCCAGAGAATCTTTTATTGACCCATCAAGTCAGGGTAAGTCCTTCATTTAAATACTCACAGAACACCACACAGTTCTTCATGGCTTTAATCACAATTGAAGTAGGTCATTATTTGAGCCAGAGTGTGAACTTTGTGAGGACAAGAACCTTGTCATTCTGCATCCCCACTGCTTCTCAGTGCCTGGCACATTCTAGACACTAGTTAATGTTGACTGAACAAAAGGATTACTTGGCCAAGCTTCCTGGTCCTGGAAAGACCAGGAAAGGTGACATGTTTAGAAGGCCGAGTGAATTCCATCTCTGGTGACTCACTCAATTGAAGCCTTTCAAAAAAATCGATTGAAAATAGTGTGCAAACCCAAACCTAAGAATGAAATAAACCAAGGTGACAGGGGCCACACCTGACAATGTTGGGTGGCATTAGTTCAGGTATGAACTTAGATGTCTATCGCTGCATTAACAGATCACTTCAAAACTCAGAGATTTAAACCAATAACAATCATCTATCATTTCTCAAGTCCCTGTGGGTTGGGAAATTGGGATGCTCAGTGATGGATCGTGGTTCAGGGTTTCTCTCAGTGGCAGGAGCTGGGATGTCTGGACCTGGAACACCTAGAGCACTGGAGCCATCTGGGCACTGGGTTCTTCATGCAGTGTCAGGGCCTCTCCATGCAGCATCATTCTGTGGCCTCACTAGCCTGGTACCCTCAGGCTGCAAAGGCTGGGTGTCCCAAGAGAAACTGACAGAAGCTGTTGCTTTAGAAGTCATGAAGGGTCATTTGCATGTTATTCTGTTCATTGAGGCCACCACAAAGTCCTACCCAGGTTTAAGGGGAGAGGTCAAGGTCATAGACTCTGCCTTTTGATAGAGTAATATCAAATATTTATAGGCATGTTTTAAAATTACCATGGAATATCAGTTCCTTTGTAACATGGGGAAAACTCTAGAAAGCTCTCCTAGAAGAGGCAGGGAGATTTCTACTCAAAAGGAAAGCTTTCTCTATGACTTATTTCACTTAATACTCTCTAGGTCCATCCATGTTACTGCAAATGGCAAAATTCCACTCTTTTTATTGCTGAGTAATATTCCTGCATGTGTGTGTCAACTTCTTTGAAAAAGTTGAAGGAGAATAAGAGGTACAGACTTCCAGTTATAAAGTAAATAAATAACAGGAATGTTAAGTACAGTGTAGGGAATATATCAATAATATCTTAATAACTTTGTATGCTGGCCGATGGGTACTAGACTTATCAGGCACCACATCGTAAGGTATATAAATGTTGATTTGTACACCTAAAACTAAAATAATACTGTATGTCAGCTATAATTTAATATAAAAAAGAGAGCTTGATTAGAATATTAAGGAGCAAAGAAAAATTCTCTTCTCGGGACTTCAAAATGGCAGAGGAGTGAATGAAAGTCACAATGACCTCCCAGGACCAATCTGGAATTACAACTAAATTCTGGAAAAATCACCTGGAACAAACAACTTAACAATAGTGAGAGAGGAGCCTTATAACCTTGGACAGACAGAGGAATCAGCTTTAGCACAACCTAACTGGTAAGGAGTGTGGTAGAGGCTCAAGAAAGTGGGCTGGGCACCACGGGCAGCAGCTCTAGAAGGGTATTTAAATGGCCAGTTGGATCCCTCTGAGAAGAGTGGGGATCAACAGCACCAGAGCCCAAAAAGTACACAGATAACAGCCAGCTGCAAAAAGCAGCAGGGTTGCTCTCTGCCAGAGATGGGCAGCTGGAGATGCAAAAAAGCCATCTAAAGGGCCAAATTAATAAATTTTTATTTGCAGCCACTTACCCTGGGCTCTGGCAAAGGTCAGGGCAGAGTGGGCTGGAGGAGCCTGAGGAGAGACTGGGAAAGGAGGCTTTGGGGAAAGAATTGAGAGAGTAGCCAGGGGGGTCCTGGTGCTGACTCCTCACCCATACGGCAGCATCCATCTTGCTCAGGTAGACCACTCTCCTAAGGGGCAGCAGTATGAGAGGACACAGAGCCCTGCTCCCAGGAGGCTCTGCCCTGGCCCAGTGGTGCATAAGCCTGATGGCTGAGTACAGAGTGGCAGTCACAGATAATAGAGCCCTGGCTAAAGGAGGCACAGAGTGGTCTAGGGACACTTGAGGAGAGACTGGAGATGGAGGTTTTGGGGAGAGAACTGAGAGAGCAGCTGGCGAGATCTGGTTGCTGACTCCTCCCCAGTATGGCAGTAGCCTCTTGCTCAGGCAGACCACTCCCTTGAGCGGCAGCAGCATGAGAGAACACAATAGCCCTGCCCCTAGGAGGGACTCTGCCCTGGCCTGGTGGCGCTTAAGCCTGACTGCTGAGTGCAAAGTGACTATTTTAACAACTGAAGGAGACAGCCACAGGCAGTAGATTCCTGGAAGTCTTAAACAGACTGGCTCAGGTCAGACAGGGTCAACATCTGACTTCATCAGAGGCAGATCCAGAAAGAAAAAACAGTGGTCTCCTACCATAGAAATTCATACCACAAAGTCAGGAAATCAAGACAGGATTGTTTTACTTATTGACACCTCCTAACCACTATATTAAAATGACTCAGTTTTGATAGCTCCTCAAGTGTTCCTCAAAACATCAAGTGATTAGATTCAAGAGGAGGGGAGGTTATTGTTAAAATACAGACTTTGGGTCACAGCCCAGAGTTTCTTCTGAATGAGAGGTAGTGCTTGGAATCTCTATTATAAACAAGTTCTCCCAGGGATTCTGATACAGGCAAGAGGCACTGTCCTTTAATAAAGAATGAATTTGCCTTGTTTTAAGTCATCTGATGATATTTGGCCTCCTGAAATTTTTATTTTCATTAATATTTGAGCTATTAAAGCAATAATTTTGTCTTATAGGATCTCTAAGAAACATAAATCCACTTTAATTTAATTTAAATCATAATGATAATTTTATTGGAGGTATATGGAGATTTCTAATGGGAAACAACCAAGCCTCCTGAGAGACTGGAACCCGGAGCTGGAAAGCAAGCAAGATCTCTGCTCATTCTCTGACCTCCTTTTTCTCCTTACACATCCATTTTATCTTCTTGGACTGCATGTGGTAAAAACGAACCTTTCTAAATAGATCTGTGCGTGTTCTCTGTTCAGGGCTCCAGAACTAATTACTTGGAGTATCCTAATTGCAAATTCTTAGGGTGAGAATCTGATTGGCTCCACTTAGGTCAGTTATCTACTAATCAGCTGTGGCCAAGTGGGTCCACTGACCAGTCAGAAGGTTCTTCCTAAGTGGCTACTTGGGAATGGTACCTGCTGGTCACAGTTCTCTCTGGCACAGTCATGACCGGTGAAAATAGTGAAGTATTGTGAGCCACATCAATTAACATGCTCTGACTGTGACCACAGCTGCATGGAAGGAGGCCCAGGACAATAGGGGAGGATGTTCAAATATTATATTAATTATCCCTCTAATTATGTCTGAAGTCTTTCTTCCTCTCTGCAGTGCAGAGTCAGAGAGTGTACCTGCTTGTTCATTGCTGTATCCCCAAATGCTTAACCAGGCTCTTAATGAATATTAAATAGTTGAATGAATAAGGGAACAATAGTCCTATATTCAGTTTTATGAGGAATCACCTCCTTCAACAAATATTTACTGAACATCTACTATGTGCGAGATACTAGTCCAGGGTCTTGGTTTACACCAGGGAACAAGACAGGCAAAGATACTTGCCCTCATGGAGTTTATATACTAGCCATTTTGCTGGGCATTGATCTATATCCTAAAGGGATCAATACTTGGTCATTGCTCTTGGAACCATCCTTTGTGATTGGGTTCAGCCACTGCAAGTGTAAGGTCTGTGGAAAACTTTATCTGTTGTTTTAGTATCAATGGAAGGCATGTGGACAAAGCCTGGAGAGAATTTGAATGAACATTAGCTACCCTGGCTTTCCCCAGGGGCTGCTTCCAACCACCCTGACCTGCTTGTTCTCTTTCCCAGGTCATGCTTTCAGAGCGCAAAGGCACAGATGAGCTCTATGCTGTGAAGATCCTGAAAAAAGATGTTGTGATCCAAGACGATGACGTGGAATGCACCATGGTGGAGAAGCGCGTGCTGGCCCTGCCTGGGAAGCCGCCATTCCTGACCCAGCTGCACTCCTGCTTCCAGACCATGGTAACATGTCTGGGGGCCCTGGCTCTTCCCCTCCAGAGTTTCACCAGGATTTGGCCAAAGATATCCCAAAGAGGCACCTGGGTCCTTCCCATAATAGCACAGGAAAATGTGGGGCCAGAGAAGGTTGCTGAGAATTTCTGAGGTGGCTGCTGAGAAGCACTCACCCTGATGCAGGTGCTGTTTCAACAAAGATAAAGGAACTCAGGCAATTGGTTTTATAACCAACAGAGCAGGACCTTTCTCTGACAGTAAGAGGTGACTTGGGGACAGGAACTCAGGACTTTCGGTTTCATGATATGAGATGTAATGCCAGGTGGGAATGAGGGTAAAGGTCCACACTTTGTGCCTTTAGGTGATTATAGGCAGCCCTCCAGACCCTTTGGCTAAGTGCTCCAATACATTCTGCAAGCTGCATGGACCTCCTTGGAGGAGTGGTTGCCTGGGAACACAGTCCTTGGAGGACTCCTAGGGTGTGGGGTACAGTGTCCTAGGCAGGGGCTAGTGAGATCAGAACTGTGGCTCCCAAGAGGGGGAAATTTGTATACTATCTGCTATTGACTGTGACTCCAACTCTGTGAAAGCAAGAGACATCCCTTTAAAAACCTCTTATACTTGTCGCTTTTTAAATTAGACCTTGGCATCTGTACCTAGGGAGAGGGAGGCCAGAGCCCCTATTGCAAAATGGGACAAAGTTAATTCTTGCCTTTAGGGCTTCTAAGGGCCGGTGGCCCCATGACATAAAGGTGCTTTCAGGGAGTTTTCAAGATGATTTAGACTCCATCCAGTTATTAACCTACATGCTAATTTTAGAGCCCAACCTCTGTGTGAAATACTACATATAATTTAAAGATTGGGACTTCCTCTCTTCTCCAGCATCACTGACTACCATGCGCTGCTAAGTTAGGTTCATCACATCCAGCTGAGAAAGACCCAGAACTGGATTTGGGGAGGTTTTCTCAGTGCAGACCATACACCAAGCACAGAACTGCCCTGTGTGAAAGGGGCCAGTGCCTTTTATCTTCTAAATGGTCTTCTGATACATTTTGAAGTCAGACCTGGGTTCAAATCTGGATCTGTTGCTTACTGAGTTGAATGACCTCAGGCAAATTATATAACCTCTTTGGGCTACAATTTTTTAAATCTGTAAAATGGATGAGATAATAGTAACTATATCCAAGGTTGTTGTGAGGAGAAAATGAGATTACACATGAGCAACATGTAACACAGCATTTGGTACCTGATAAATGCTCAATAGATGTTAGTTATTTATTTCACAAGTGTTGGCCTTGGCCTTGACCAAGTCCTGTTGTATAGAGCTGAGTAAGTGAGGTCCTGTTTTTAAGAAGTTTATGGTTTCAATAGCTAAAGCAATAGTTAAAGATAATGCAGTAAGGGCTATGATAACAAGACCTAGAGAGGTGGGTGGGTCTGCAGATTGTTGCCTGATCACCAGATGGTGTCTGCTTTTTGGGTGATGACATTATTTTCTTCTGAGGCCAGGTTCTCCAAATCCTGGATATCCTCCCTATCACAAGTAGTCAGGAGGGAGGACACATTTTATGCAAATGTGTATAGTATTCTCTGTGGGGGCTTTGATCCACCAGCCTCTTGTTGGGGTCTGCTAAGTGATGAGGGGTTACAAGAACACCCTACACTCCACTGCAAGCCAGACGAAGAGTCGGAATCATGTTTGCCACAGTATGGGGCAGGCTCCACTATGCAAAATGGCCCTGAGCAGTATGAAGGAGTTTTGGGTGGACTTTCAATTACACTCCCCTTTTCAGTTCACTTGAAGTTTTTCCAAGAACCTGAAGGAGAGTGTTTCTATTTGGTGTTACCGTGCTCACAGCATCTTCCTGACATTTGCCTTTTTAACAGAGAGTACCAGGCTTTAGGTTCTGGCTTTGGCAAATTGCAGTTTCTAGGTCATTGTTTTGTTTTTATTATTTTTTTCCACAGATTTCTTCCATTTATGACAGCACTATAACAACATTTAATTTTGAAATATTAGCAAAAAATACAGAAAACACACCAAATAGATGTTTAGTAATTAGTTATTATAAGGTTAAGTTCCTTATGCCACCACCCAGGTCAAGAGAGAGAACTTTGCAGCTGCTCTAGAAGTTTCTCTGCATTCTAATTTCAATGTCCCCCAATAGTAGCATGACTTCCTTGCATGTCTTTTATTTCTTTTTCTGAAGATTTGATTTACTTTTTATTTTTAAAGTATATTTCATTGACTCTGCTACTACAATTGTCCCATTTTTTCCTCCACTTTATTCCCCTCTGCCCTGCACCCCTCCTCCCACCAGCATTCTGCTCCCCGCTCCACCCCAGTTCATATCCATGGGTTGTACATAAAAGTTCTTTGGCTTCTCCATTTCCTATACTACTTTTAACCTCCCCCTGTCTATTTTGTACCTACAAATTATGCTTCTTAGTCCCTATACTTCCCCCGCCATTCTCCCTGTCACTCCCTGCTGATAACCCTCTATTTGATCGTCATTTCTGTGATTCTGTTCCTGTTCTAGTTGTTTGGTTAGTTTTGTTTTGTTTTTTGTTTTTTGTTTTTTTTTGCTTTTGTTTTTTAGGTTCAGTTGTTGATAGTTGTGAGTTTGTTGTCATTTTACTGTTCATAGTTTTGATCTTCTTTTTCTTAGATAAGTCCCTTTAACATTTCATATAATAACAGCTTGGAGATGATGAACTCCTTTAACTTTACCTTATCTGGGAAGCACTTTATCTGCCCTTCCATTCTAAATATAGCTTTGCTGGAGAGAGTAATCTTGGATGTAGGTCCTTGCCTCTCATGACTTTGAATACTTTCTTCTGGCCCCTTCTTGCCTGCAAGGTTTCTTTTGAGAAATATGCTGATAGTCTTATGAGAACTCCTTTGTAGGTAACTGTCTCCTTTGCTCTTGCTGCTTTTAAGATTCTCTCCTTATCTTTAATCTTGGATAACTTAATTATGATGTGCCTTGGTATGTGCTCCCTTGGGCCCAACTTCTTTGGGACTCTCTGAACTTCCTGGATCTCCTGGAAGTCTATTTCCTTGGCCAGATTGGGGAAGTTCTCCTTCATTATTTTTTCAAATTAAGTTTTCAATTTCTTGCTATTCCTCTTTTTCCTTCTGGCACCCCTATGATTCGGATGTTGGAACGTTTAAAGTTGTCCCAGAGGTTCCTCAGCCTCTCCTCATTTTTTTTAGTTCTTGTTTCTTCATTCTGTTCTGGTTGAATGTTTATCTCTTCCTTCTGCTCCAAATCATTGATTTGAGTCCTGGTTTCCTTCTCTTTACATTGGTTCCCTGTATATTTGTCTTTATTTCATTTTGCATAGCCTTCACTTTTTCTTTTATTTTATGACAATACTGAATCATTTCTGTGAGCATCCTGATTACCAGTGTTTTGAACTGTGCATCTGATAGGTTGGCTGTCTCTGTCGCTTAGTTCTTTTTTTTGAAATTTTGATCTGTTCTTTCATTTGAGCCATATTTCTTTGTCTCGGTGCACCTATTACGTTGTAAGGGGTGGAGCCATAGATATTTGCCAGGGTGGGGCAGCTCTAATTTCAGTGTCCCCCAATGGAAGCATGACTTACTTGCATGTCTTTTATTTATTTTTTTGAAGATTTTATTCATTTTTTAGAGAGAGGAGAAGGGAGAGACAGAGGGAGAAACACACTGATGTGCAAGAGAAACATCCCAGTTGCCCCTTGAAGACCTGCAAAAGGGGACTGGGCTGCAACCCAGGGATGTGCCCTGACCTGGAATTAAATAGGCAACCTTTCAGTTTGCAGGATGACACACAACCTACTGAGCCACAGCAGTCAGGGTTTCCTTGCATGTCTTTATTGTTTTATCTCTGTAGTTTAATCTTTCCTTTTTTAGAAATTGGATGTGTTTTATAAGTCTTTTAATATAGTGATTTTCTGCTCCATCCCTTTCTTTGATCTGTTCTTTTATCTGCTGATGATCTCTATTGGCTCCATAGAGTTTTCACAGTCTGGGTTTTGCCAGTTGCACAGTAATGGGACATCTCTACACATTTCCCTTGTCCTCCATGTTTCCAGAAGACTCCTGACTAGACTCAGGCTTGGTCAGACTGAGGTTAGATCCTCTTGGCAAGATCATAGGTGGTGGGTGTTATTTCTTCGGAAGGCAAATAATGTCCAGCTTCTTCTCTTTTTTGTGATGTTGGCAACCACTTGATTGGTGCCCAGGTCCAATAATTCATTAAGTATTGTGAGAATCTGATAACCTAATGCTAACATTCCCTTTTCATTTGTTATTTGGAATCCTTTAATAAAAAAGTACAAGATTTCCTCATCTAGTGCCTGGTGCTGTGGGGGTACAGTTCATATAGGAAAGGCAGGATAAGTGTTTGATTCCCATTATTTAACAATTTCCATGAATTGGTTCATTATTATGATCCAAAGGTAGCTAAAATTTGCTTTTAAAATAAGATTTTTGACTAAGAGAGTCAATGCAAAGAAAAATGTGAGGTGAGCAATAATTCACACCATCTAGGGACTTGGCAAGATGGGGAGGGTGTGCTTCTTGTCCAAGTCTGGGGAGTTAAGGCCTCAGAGTATTCAAGTGGGGGCTGAGACAGGATTAGACAAGACTCTCAAATCTCTAGACTTCCTCTTTCCCAGTCTTCTCTTGTTTCCATTGGTGGTCCCCAAATTGGCTCACCAGCATCAGCAGATGAAGGACAGTCTCAGTCTGGTAAATAGACTAGGAAGGAGATCTTTCTCTTGAGGCAGAGGCTGGGCTCAGAGAAGCAGGGTTTTCAATTTCATTTGGATGTGTTGAGATTGGAAGAAATTAGTCATCTGTGATTTGTTGAAGTTCAGTATTTTTGTTTGTAATTTACTGTTTTAAAAATGATAAATTAAGTTTGAAATTACTCCATGACTACCAAGCTGTCTCACTCACTCATGTTTCAGTATGTTTTTTGGAAGAAGAGAGGAAAGCCTGGGTGCTCATGAAAGTTGTG